AAAAAAGAGAAGGACTGGGTTACTTACAGTGGTACCTGCACATGGATTTAAACTTGTAAGCTACCAAATTTGAAATTTGTGGCCCGAGATTCCAGGTACAAGTTTTCTCGTGGAAAATAACTATGACAACTAGAGAAAGAAAGATCTTGGGCATAACCAATCCCTGAATACCAATCCACTCTACTGAAGTGAACAGAATTATTCCTGAGTTTGAGTCCACTTGCAAAACAAGCCCCCTGCATCTGTGTTGTCTCAATGGGTTTGACTTACCTTGCACATTTATCAGATTAACCAGAATCAGAGCTAAAAGTGTGGAAAAGATCAACCTCTTTCTCAGCATGGTTGCACCAGTACCTTACATAAAGTGCGTGCACCAGGAAGCAAGAGAGAAGTCTGCAGTCTCTACCCAAAGGGAGATCTGACTGTATTTAAAGCAAACCCCTGGGCTCAGCCCACTTCAAATCTTCCTGAAAACAGCAGGTTGCAAACTGGCCTGATGACATGCTCAAAGATGAATCTGTGGTGGTTGAGGGCTGCTGGATTCTCATTAGTCAGTTGCCACACAATGTCACTGAAATAACCTTTAACACAAACTATGGAGGCCAATTGCAGGTTGATGAGAGAGGCAGTCATGGAAAAGGCCATAAACTATAGCAACACCAATAATGATGTCACCAGATGTGCTTCTGGCACTGTTTGTTTCTCAAGACAAATTTTTAAATTAGCTTCCACTGAGGAATTTGAAAATCCCGATACAACTCTTGACAAACAGAAAGTGCCCCAGGCAGCTGGAGATAGGGTGAGTGTCAACCTGCTGTTTTTACCATGTCATAAGGAATGCATTTGAATGGTAAGAATAGTAACATAACAGCCAAAAAGCTTGGATGGATATTTAATTGGAAAGCCCTCTTTCAGTTATTACAACTTACATGCAAGCACCCCAGGACTGCTATTTTCCACACTGTATCTCAGCTCAAAGGTAAATAAATGCATTTGGAGTATCTGATTGATGTTAGCAAGCTGAAACACCTATTCTGCATGACTTTGTTGGTTGAAGGTAACTATATAACTGATATACCTCTGAGTATACAAAAAGGGATCCTCTGGCACAGACTCCAGTGGCCATTCACCCATCTCTGCTCACAGGATAGAGTCAGAGCCAAGAAACCTATATTTGCTGTAGCAAATTCCCAGCTGCAGTGTTGGCTGTTTAGGCTTTTAGCAGCTAACGAAATGAAAGCAACATGGAAGCCTGCTCCTTTTATTTAAATACTGTTATTGAAACAGCTGTGGGCCTAATGCTGATTAGAAAAAAAATAGCAGTGTCACACCAGTGTAAATTTACTGTGAGGGGATTCGGACTCACACTCATTAACTTTGGGATGGTCTGATCTTTATACCTCTGAAACCTTTCCTTAATATTGCATCAAGCTAGTTTCTCAGCACTGAATTTCTGTCAAGTTACCTCCATCTCAGGGGCTTGCCTAAGGCATTATTCTTGTAATCATGCTTTTGTGGTGCAAGACAGATTTTTTTTTTTTGGTTTGCAGTGAAAAGAAGCTGAGGTTCATTAACATCTACAGCTGTTCAGTTTCTGCTATAGCTTCCTCCACTGTTACAAGTTGCAACCTAAAGTTGATTGAACTTCTCTATAAAATTGTGAATGGATTATTAAGATTGCTTGATCAAGATTGTGGCTGTATAGAGCATCAATATAATGCACAGGCCAAGAATATTTAGATAATTGACTCTTATGAGTGTGAATGTGAATCCCAATGTTAGTTTTTACATTTTCTGAGTGAAATACATTACAATCCTATTATAATAATCCCCCATGGAACCAGGAGAAAAGTTCATTAACAGAGGGTGCTTGCTATAACAGGGTTAATCTATTCACTGCATCATCAAAATTGCAACAATTGGTTCCTCCTGCTGGGCTTGTTAAAAGGAGAGGGGTTTGTTTCAACAGGGTTTGATACAATGAGGTTCTACTGTATTTCTCTTAGGGAGGAATGAATTGAAACAGTGCAGGAAAAAGAAGGTAGGATATACCCACCCGGTTCATTGAACTGAGTTAGATTCAGCTCCAGTAAGATTTCTGGTTTCTCATATTTTTTTTGCATGCGTGGGTGGGTGGGTGAGGTGCACTTCCTCTGTGTGCAGGTTACTGAGCCCCTCAGAATTTGGTTTATCTGGATATTTGCAAGCGTTGGACATGTCAGCAGGAATGCTCAGCCTGATCTGCCTCACTCTTCCCAGAAACATGAATATGCTTAGATTTTTAAGGCCAGAATGGGTTATTGAAGCTAGTCAGACCCCCCCTGTATAATCCAGGCCATAAGCTTTCTGCGTTAGTCCCTGCCCTACACAGATTTTTCCTCATAGCTAAGCAGTGTCCAAACTGCAGCGTAAAAGCCAAATGCAGCCCAGAGAATCCTAAAATACCTCTCTTGTCTGTCATCCCTGAACCAGAGGGCACAAGTCTGTTGTATGTTTGTATTGCTGTTGAAAGCCTGTAAGAACTTTTCATCTTTCTGGACAAAAACCAAGTACAATTGTATTAAAGTATTTACATTAATATGTTTAAATCAGAAGGCCTGGATGACTCTTACTTGAGCCCTCTAACTGAGGAGATCTTTGCCCTATTGTTAATTTTAAGCAGTCTGGAAGTCCAAGTAAATTTGTAAGGACTGGAGAAAAGCTAGTGTTGGGCTGAAAAAGATCAAGCAGGATGGAATATTGAATGAGGGCAAGCTTACTGAAGGCCAGTTAGTATGCCATCAATGCTTGGCCACGTAATGGGACAGCGGGTGTAAAATTTGATTAATAAAGGATAGGAATGTAATTAATGCCAGCCAGCATACTTTTATAGGAAATGGGTCTTGTCAGACAAAGGAGGATTCAAGCTGGGTTGAAACAGATAAATGTGTAGATATTGTGGATTATCTTAAGTATTTTTCTTGATTTCTTATGGCACTGTAAATGAAAAATCGGCACTATTCCAAAACAATGAAGACATGACAGCATAGGGACTGGCCTGGCAGATCTCAAAAAAGTAGCTGTCAATGGGAAATTGTGTAGCAGAGGTGCTTCTAGCTGCGTTCTGCAACGATTGCCATGGGGCCTGATGGTGAACATTGTCCTCAATGGAAATGAACATAAAATCACCGAAGATAAAAAGCATAGGTAAAACAAAGATTGGCAGAGTGGTAAATAATGGTGAGTACAGGGCAGCCATCCAGACCAATCTGGATGGCTTACTAAGCTGGGCCCATTCAAACATAATGTATTTTAATACAGCCAAATGAAATGCTACATATTTAGGGACAAGGAATGCAAGGCTGTGTATCTGTAGAGGCGTGGAGATTGTCACCTGGAAAGCAGCTCTCAGAGCCAGTGCCTTCCTAAAGCTTGGAATATGGGATAAGATTTGGGGGTTTACATTTAAAATGGGAATTGAAAAATTAGAGATTTTGCAGAAGGGAACCATAAATGATTTGTTTGTTGGAGAAAATGTCTCACAGCAAAAAACTCTTTAAAGAGCTCGGTCTCTAGCAGATCAATGAGAAAATGCAGCAGTGATGTGATTATGGCTTTGAAGTACTATCAGGGAAAGAAAATAGCATGTATTAGAAGGGGCTTTAAACTAGAAGACCAAAGGCATAACAGACCAGTAACTGAAAACCAAAACTAGATTACTTCATGCTTTAGTCGCAAGGTACTGGTATTAATGTAGAGGTAGCTGGTCAAAAGTAATGGCCTGTGGTACACAGGAGGTCAGACTGACTGATTTCCAGGTCCTTCTGAGCCTTAAATTCTATGACTCTATGAATATACAAATTGGGTATCACGTTTCGACTTCTAGCAAGTATTCAGTGCGTCTTCCAGCAATACTGGAGCTGGATAACCAGCTCCACATTTTAGATGATGGAAATGTCCAATTTAATTGTTGGCATGGTGAAAATTGCACCATACTTTGCATGTGTGCTGAGCACCTAGATAATTTAAGAAGAGGCTTGATGCCTACCTGGCTGGAGTCATTTGAGCCCAGTTTTTTCTCCTGCCCAGGTAGGGGGGTCGGACTTGAAGATCTACAAGGTCCCTTCCGACCCTACTTCTATGATTCTATGATATGATTCTCCAATACTCGTAGTTCACCCTCTCCCAGCATGTCTTAAATCTGGTACCTATCTACAAAATATGCTTTATCAGGAAAAGAAACTAGATTTGCTTCTGTAACAAAATGTGGAGTTTCTGAAGAACATGAGATTGAAAACAGCAGAGACTGACATTACCTATTTATCTCTAGAGCAGAAATAAGATTACGTGCTGGTAGTGGCAACTCCCCTCCACTGTCTCTAGGGGGGGAAAGTAATGTGGGTGTGTTAATTCTGCCGAGTCTGTAGCATTTAAAAGTTCACTTGCAGATGGAATAAAGATAACAATTCACTTCTCATTCAATAGTTGAATTAAAGAGTGACCATTCATTCTTTCCCACAAGACTAAACGTTTTAGTAAAAGGACAGTCACAAGCCTATAACATAATACACAGTTACCTAAAATCATCAAAACATAAAGACTTTTTAAAAACAAAGTTACATTTCTTCACTCAGTTCTGATTATTTCTCTCATCTTAGTGGGTGCACTAACCAGTTTCACTTTAGTTCACAGTCCGTTTTCACCTTCTGAGTCTCATTCATTGGTTCACGAAATCTTGTGCTGTCTCTATATATCTTATTTAATTAGTCTATAAAGGTGCATTTCTACCCTGGCTTCTGATTGCCTTCAGACTAACATGTCAATTTACCTCTCTCTTTTCATGCCCTACCCTAGTGCTACAACATTTGAGTTCTGAAAACTGATGGAGAATGGTTATATCCACATAAAAACATCAGTGCATTTGTTATTTTTAAAACATACGAAAACACTGCTTTGTTTTAAAAAATGTGAAAAAACATTTTAGGTTTTGTAAAAAAAGTATTTTTGTATTCAAAAATAGTTTTATGGAACCATACACAAGCACAACATATATTGCATAAATAGGCATAGGTCAGCTCCCCAGCTGGAAAATAGCATAAATCAGTTGACTTGAAGTCGCATTAAATTACACCAGATTTCATACTATCCATGTAATAAATTGGAAAGCCAAGTAATGTACAGCCAAGTTATATGGTAAAAGAGTCATGGACCTGTGTTCACTTTATCTGCTCTCTGTTTGGCAAACCATTTCTTGCAGGGTTTTTAATGTTCCAAGTCCTGAAGTGGTTTTAGACAGACACCATGAAAAAAATTCAGGTTGGCCAAAAACCTGTTGGAAAAAAAAATTAGCTTTCTGGAAACTCTTTTTTGTTTTTGTTTTGACAGAAAATTGAGGTTTTCAATAGAAAGAATTTTTCTTGTCAAAAGTTTCTCTTAACAACAGAATAATGCCATTTTCAATGTAAAGTGAATGTCCCCTAATTAAAACCTGTTTCTTTTTACTTTGGGGCAAAATACTTGTTTGTCGTA